GAGGAGGAACTAAGGTGACCAGATAGCAAATGTGAAAAATCGGGACAAAGGGTGGGGGGTAATAGGAGCCTATATAAGAAAAAGACCCAAATATTGGGACTGTCCCTATAAAATCAGGACATCTGGTCACCCTAGGAGGGAACTGGCGAGCAGTGGCGGGGACCTCCAGAGTGGGGGGTGGAGTGCTGGAGAGGAGCAGCCAAGCAGCGGCGGGTGAAGAACGCTGAGCTTTATATGCGCCATGCAGGTTTCCAGGCGGCTGAGGAGGTAGTATCTGCTACTCAGTGTCTGCCGTCCGGGTTCACCCGTAATCTCCCTGGGGAGTCCAAGGGATCCGGGAAGCTAAGAAGCAGATACCGCCTCCTCAGCCACCTGGGGAAACTGCATGGCGCATAATAAATAAGCAAAAACTTCCAGCCGAAGCCCATTCCCAGCCGGGAGGGAAAGAAGCGGGACCACCACGGCCCAGGTGTCTGGCAGCAGGGTGGCGGTGGCTGTGCCAGGGTAGGCTCAGCACGTTCACAGGGAGGAATCGGGGTCTCACTGAGGTTGCAATGTTCTCCTCTGCCCAGCAGCAGGGTTTCTAGGTTCTTGCCTGGCGGGAAGCTCTGTTTAATGCCCAAAATGCTTGCACATGGGGTGTCTGTCCCATAGCTCCCATCTCGGGTAAGAGCTGTAACCTGCTGGCTCCCAGCTCCATTAATCCCACATGTCCCAGGCTGCATAGCACAGGAATGGGTTCTCTCCTGCCAGTGGGCTGGTGGAGAAGGGGAAAGGAATTGGAAGGGCAGTGGTGAACTAGGCACGTTGGGGAGAAAGAGATGGGGGAGAAAGCAACATTACAGCTTAGGATATAGTCCCCGGGGCAGGGACAGACACCTGCACAAAGGCACGGCAGAGGGAATGCCAAAGAAAGGCACTTCTGGGCGTCTATCTGTTGGAGCCAGCTTGTCGGTGGGCTTGGCTGCAGCCGAGGGACCGTGCGTGCGTATTGTAACTCTTCCCCTTCTCTGCAGCGGGAGCTGGGCTCTGGCCACTAGGTTCAGATCTGGGTCTGAACTCCCTCGAAGTGTGGGGGCATCTGGGTCTGGGCCTATCTCTAGCTAGAGCCTCAGCCCTCTTGGGGAGGTGGCTCCCTGGAGTCTCTTGCTGTTGATTGTTGCTACTGAAGCAGCTGGAAGCTCCAAAGGGGATCACAACCCCATTGGGTTAGTTACACGCAGTGAGACGGCCCCTGCCCCAGAAAGTCTACCATCCCAGTGGACGAGAAAAAGAATGGGAGACAGATTAAGTGATGTGCCAGAAAGTCTGTGGCAGAGCTGGTAATTGATGCCAGGTCTCCTGGCTCCCAGTCCAGTGCATTAACCACCATCCTTTCCCTTCCAGACAATGGTCTAAGGACAGGAATCTAGGCAAGGGAAACTTATTTCCCACACCCCAACCGTACGCTCCAAGGGCCAGCCACACACGTCCAGGTGCAGACTCTGCATGGGCATCCTCTGCTGCAAAGGAGACAGCGAGGCCGTGTGGCCTAGTGGGGCTCAAAGGGCTGAACCAGGAGTAAGGGAAACTCAGTGTGAGACTGGGTAAGTTCCCATGAACCTTACCTTCTTGGGAGCCTTGCTGGGAGTCCTGGGCGGGCGCCTCACTGACCTGGTGATGCTGGCTGGCCCTCAGCCGAGCTATCTCCTGGGTGTTGCTCTCCAGCCTGCTTCCCAGCTCAGCTTTTTCCTGCTCCAGTCGCCTCTTCTCCTCTTCCAGGAAGGACTTCTCCTGCCCAAGGGTGCTGTAGGCAGCCTCCAGCCTGCTGATTTGAGACTCTTGCTGGGCTCTCTCCATCCTCAGCCTGTCCAGCTCTCTCTGGAGCTCCGCAGCAGAAGCGGAGGAGCCCCCTGCCCCCAGCACCACGTGCAGCTGGGTCACCAAGTTCTCCAGGAGGCTCAGCCTGGCCTTGGCTGACTCTAGCTCCGAGCGCTGCACGTTGCTCTCCCTCCGGAGCTCCTGGATGGCTGATGTTGCCTGGCCCAGTTCTGGACAGCTGGCCTCATTCGGGCTGGGGACGGCAAATGAGTAGATGCATCTACCGTTCCTGTCATTGGCTCTCCTGAGATGAACTGTGCTCCCCAGAGCCACCCGGGCCAGGCCCACTGACAGCAACAGCCAAACCATGAGCATCTTTGTTATGGATGCTGCCCCCATCAGCACTGCACACGGTACCCGTCAGTGCCTGAGAGAGCAGAGCTGCTTCCTGAGCTGCTGGCTACTGAGTGAGGGACGCCCGCCAGCTCACTGGAGCTTCATTTATACAGCTGGGACTCGGGGTGGGCGGAGGGAGAGGGTTGCTGTGCCAGAGCCATGGAATAACAGGAACCTTCCAGAGCTGGCTTTAGAACTTCTTAAAGGAACAGCATCTCTGATCCCACCTTCCCTCCCGCTCGCAGCCGGACTCTCAGCAAAGAGTGCGGTGGTGTTCAGACTCGAGCAAAGGTTCCACGTGGGGTTGGGGCCCCTGGATGTAAATCAGGAGTTGCTCTGCTGAACGCAATGGGATGATGCTGCTGTAAAATCGGCGCGAGCGAGAGGGGAACGGAGCACTAGGGTTTTCTTTTCCAATGATAACCTGTCACGCTTGCCAGCCCAGAGAATCGGTGTATTTAGGGATGTGAGGGAGGAATTCACACTAGATTGCTGTCTGTAAGAGAGGATGGGCTTGCAGGCAGAGAGCTGGGTCATGCAGGCAGTTGCTGTCTGAGTTGGGTTAAACCTCCGAGTTCTACACGTGTAAGGCCTGTGTTTAAAAAACCTGTGTAAGGGGAGGTAGCTAGCCAGCCACCTCAGTACATACTCATACGCTGTTCCCCATATGCTGAAGTAGAGAATTCACTACTATTGGTATCCATGCTAGCGAGATCAAAGCTAGTTCAGGTATGGGTCTCTGTGCTGCAGTCACACACCTTGACTGCGGTGAAGACCTACCCCAAGAGACAGAGGCTGGGAGAAATGTAGCTTCTTTTTTCCCTTAGCAGTTCTAGGAGTGTCAAATCTGCCCGCCCCTGGTTCTGCTGGAGTGTTCATTGGAGGACTCGGGTGGGTTAGGATGTTTCCGAACCCTTTGCTGAAGGGATGGGCTTGCTCAAACTTGACCAGCACCAGCCTTTCTCCAGTCCGGGGCAGGTGTGCGAAGCTCAGCACGTTTTTT